GCTAACAAATTAGGTACAAGTTTTTAGAAGTCAGGCCAACCTGCCTTTTGTAAACAGGCACCAAAATGTAGGCTGGAAATTGAGCTAATTATTTTGCATAGTGTTTTTGATACATCTAATTTATTTCTCGAAAAAGTATATTTTAGCCAGGAGTCTTGCCACAGACACTTGCCAAAAATAGTCTGGCCTTAGCATCTCCAGAATAAGCTTCCATGACAATAGTGCAGTTAGAAGTGACTCATGTACAGCTTTTCTTTTAATAAGAAAAATCAATCTGAGTGATGCCAACATGAGGACTAATCTTAAATGAGTGGGGGCTTGTTTAAACTAATTATTCTCCATAAGCCAAGTCCAGTTACCTAAAATAATCAAGAATAAGAATGATCACAAAATAGTCCACTCTGAGAGGAAAAATATAATTATGCTGCTTACAGTAGTTTTAAACTCATACTGCTTTAGAAAAATGACAGATTATAACACTAAATACAAAAGCAAATTTGGTTTACAACAAATCTAGTCACCCAGAAGAACACAATCTAGCCAGGACCTTTGAAAGTAATAAAGTAGGTCTGTTAGCTATTTCTAACATAACAAAAATCCTAATAGAAAAATGAATGTTTGTAACATGCAGTCAATCTCTCTCCTCTCTCTCTCTCTCTCTCTCACACACACACACACACACACACACAAACACATGCATGCATGCATCCACACCTCACTCACACAAAACAAACTCCTAAATAAAACACATCACCTTTTATGTGGTCACCATGTTCCTTAGAAAAGAATAAACCTCCATGGCTAATTTCTCAGAATTAAGTAATGTAACAAAGTAGCATAGTTAAGAATCAAGCTCCAGATACTGCCCACACACCTGCATTATTATTTCACTGCTAAGAGGTCTAAATTCAACAAAGTAAACAAAAAGAAAGATCACTGTTTAAGCTTGAATGGTAGACCACATTTCTGTTTTATGAAATAAGAACACATCTATTAATCACCTATATGTTCTAGAATAATTACCACCAACTCAAATTTACATAAAAAATAGACCTACCCTTTACTGGGCAACTTAATGGCCAAAATGTTAATGAATCTTCTTTGTCTGAGACATTTGTGTTCATCTGTATTAGTCATGATTCTCTTCCATATATAAGCATGAACTCTAAGTACTAAAAGAGAAGAAATAAATTTGCCTCTGCTTTCTAACATGTAATAGCCATAAATGCAAGTAGCTTGGCAAATACTAGACAGTGTTCTTCTTCAGCTGGGACAAGGAATATTTCTACTTTGAAGATCTGACCACTAATAAATATAGTAATTTGTGGGCTTTAGTATGTCATCATGGATAAACTTCTATCAATAATTTTGAGCTCTTCATCCTGCTTCCTATTTGCACTAATCTTTCCTGCTTTTACTCAGTCACCAAGGGCAAGGAAGGAATAGTCTATTTAATGGTTTGTTTCCACAAAGTCATTTTGCTCTCTATACAGAAATCATGCACTTTTACAACTGGGAGGAAATTAACCTATTTATTAGTTTTTAGTTCAGTCCAAAATCAAAGTTTCAATGAGGAGAACATAAAACTTGATGACAGGTGTTTCAATTTTAAAACTGTATGTTTATAAATACTTAATCTAGGATAGGCATTTCATTTAAAAAGTATCCGGTCCCTTTTCAGATTTAGGTTTTAGAGATTAAGGAACCACACGGGGCGCCTGGGTGGTTTAGTCGGTTGAGCGTCTGACTTTCGCTTAGGTCATGATCTCGCGGTTCGTGGGTTCGAGCCCCATGTCAGGCTCTGTGCTGACAGCCAGCTCAGAGCCTGGAGCCTGTTTCAGATTCTGTGTCTCCCTCTCTCTCTGACCCTCCCCTGCTCATGCTGTCTCTCAGAAGTAAGTAAAACATTAAAAACAAAAAAAAAAAATTAAAAAAAGATCAAAGAACAAACTCTAAGACCAATTGTTACATTTTTAAAAAATGTATTCTTCCCAAAGTCTAGTCTATTATTTACATTTGGCCAGAGAGTAAAATTTTATATCATACAGAAGTATACTTTTGTAATAAGCATTGTCCTTTTCTACAGTATTAATCCAAGTTAGTTTTCTTCCAATTAGTCTATACAACCCTGTGTTACATACTTTTTATAATCCCATCTATGGATTTTCTGGCATTTGAAATACTGTTCCAAAATTTCAATCTTAACTCCTATCTAGAATTAGTGAAGAATTATCAATCTATGATTTATACATTTTATAGTAATTCTCCTTCAAGTTCATTATTTTCATGACAAAGCTGCAAAACATAATTTCTCAGAACAATTTATTTTGTCTTCTCTTAAATGTCATGGTAAAAAGCTTGGATTTTGCAGTTGAGTGGCCTAATTTTGAATCCTGATTCCACCACTTATCAGATGTGGGAGTGGATAAGTACTTAATTCTGTACATCTCGGTTTCCTCATTTGTAAAACATGGTTATTAGTTGGGACTGGCATCCATATAAAGCCCCTGTGCAGTATCAACATGTAGCAAGCTTTAATAAATGGCAGCTATTATTAATAATGCCATCAACAGCAGCTTGTAGAAATGATAAGTGCCCCCTATTGGACCAAAAGACATTATACTGTAGCTTTTCTCAATGACCCCACAGTTTTGACTCTAAGATGAATCTAGAAAAAAAGAGCAATTGTATATTGTAAGAGTTGTTTTCTTCTGTTCCCCTCTTCCAAATAACTTCATTCTTATGGTCATGTAAGCAAAAGGAATGGAGCCAGACAAAAATGAAAAGACTGGGTATGTATATGTGTATACACACAGAAACACGCACATCTAGTGTGCCATATGCTATTTCAGGAAGTTGTATAAAAACATGAGAAAAAAGGTGAAAAGTAAACAGGAAGAGCCACAGACTGCAATGAAGGTAGCCACATATACAAATGTAGGCAAATTTCCAGGTTCAACTATTTGACTGATTCACTCAGAATCACTTTGTTGTCCGAAAAATACACTATAATTCTTCTGGTAATACCCCTAGGAGACAGATCCACAAGTCTGGAGAAGCTGAATATTTTCATCCCTTCTTATCAATGGAGGCAAAAGAATTTTGTATTTTCTTTAAACAAAAACAAACTGCTACTACAGTTACTGCTACTAAGGATTTCTAAAGTACATAATATTTGATACTAGGATTTCTGCCACAATTTCATTAGAAAGTACAAAGGCTTTCTAAACTCTCCACTCAGACTCCCCAACTAGAAAGAAAATGGTAATTTTATGACAGACTTATATTTCTAAAAATGTGTTCTTTGGGATACTTACTTATGGCAATAAGATAATGAATGGAGTGGGAGAATAAAAGGGCTCTGTGGTCAAAAAAGTTGAAGTCTGGGAAATGCAACATTCTAGATCTCACTCCTAGAGATCCACAACACTATTAACACAAAAGGTTCTGAGAAGTCCTGCAGTGAGCACAGCTTAAATTTGTTTAGCCAGTGTTCCCCAAACTTAATTTGGCCATAGAATCCTTTTATTCAAGCAATAACCAAGGAATCAGGGCTCCTAATAACAACTTATTTTTGGAAAGGTATAATAAAGTGCCTCTGATTAGCTATTAAAAGAGTAATTTTGTATGTACCTGTCCCAAAGAAGCAGTCACTGGCAGAATTTGCTAAAGTCCCAAAATGAGTCCATGGTATTTCTGGTCAGGAAAAAAAAAATATCCAACTTGCTTTGTCTGGCATTTACACTATCTTCACCAAGTTCGAGTCATTTCCAGAATGTGTGTTTGACCCCTTTGCTACCTGTAGGTTTTTAATCAACTCCAAACACTCAAGTCTAATACCTGTGTCAATCTAAAAATGAAGGTGACCCTCTAAGCCTATGCTTTTCTTTCTGGGCTCCACTGTAAGCTAAGAAATCAGTATAGTTGTGAGCTACACCTTTAAATATAAGAATACTAAACTCAGTTACCAGCATTTTATGAACTGGTACTATGAGCTACATTTATGCAATTCTGTAATAAAATAATGAATGTCCCACAATGTTAATCCAGAAGCAAAGCAGTGATTAAATATTACTTCATTCCCCTGACACCTCCTTAACCTCCCTAGGAAGTAGATAGAACAAAATACTGTAATTACTACATTATCTATTGGAGGTTAAGCAATATACCCTAAGTACCAATAGTCAGCAGAGACCAATTTCCTGTTGGACAAATACATGTGCAATATTATAACTATAGAAACTATCAGATAATCACCCTGAAATGTGAACAAAAAACAGGAAATTCCTTTACTAATAGCTTATTATTTAAGGAGTTTTCCCTTTTGCAATAATTTTGAAACATAATTTGTTAGAAATATAAACTTGAACCCCCAAATATCAGATGGCATGCTCGGTAGTTTTTTATGACTTTGGAAATTAAAGACAAAGTCTTAGCAACTGCAATGAGGCATTCATTACCCTGTCCTTGTGTTAGAAAAAACAAAAATAAGGAAGCTACAATTAATTCTGGGTGAGGTGAATGATTAGGGCTACCAGGCTGTGGAATCACTTTCTTCCTAGGTCCTCTCTTTCATTTCAAAAGTACATAAAGGTTTAACAACATATATAAGTTGAAATAGACATCAACAATTTTTAAAGAGTCTAAGAGAGAAGACACAGTGTTATTGTGGAAAAAATACATTTTGATAAGCCAGTTGAAATTTGGCCATTGGTTTTAAGTTATACAAAATAAAGCTGGCCTTTGAAGGTAAACACTTCAAAACATTTATGGCAGAACACATGTAATCACAGTATTTTATATTATGAAAATATGTAGCAATAACATTTCACCAGAGATAAGGCAAATGGTTGAAGAGAAGAAAAAAATCTGATATGAAAGGAGTCAAGAATGTTGACAATTTAGTACAGGCAAAAAAGTTAAAGCATCGAGTTCAAGTTTCATAAGTTGTTTTTTTTCTTTTTTATGTAGAAGCAGAGGTAACAAAAATTGGTCTTCACCTGGTAAGTGTGTACTCCCTGAGTCCTGAATGCAAATTCATGGCAGAAAAAGTACCTATGCATCCACGCAATCTTTTGTCTCGACCGATCTTCCACGTTACAAACAGTGGGCTGTAATGGAAGATAAAAATAGGGTCAATCAATCAATTCAACTCAACCAAGTTATTTATTGAATATTTACTATATGCAGGGTTAGGGGACTGAGATATGAAGACCCCAGGAAAGGCCCCCAAAGTGCAGGGTCTCACCCAATGGGACTCCTATTTAACAATAATTATAGCTAGAATGTATTGAGTGTATCCTATATGTTAGGCGGCACAATAAATGCTTTAAACAAATTATCTGTGTTATTCCTCATCAACAACTCTAAGACACTGAGTAATGCTATTACCATTATTCCTATTTTATAGATGAAGCAGTCCCACAGTTAATACATAATGAAATAGGAACATCAACCTGGGCAATCCTGGCTACAAAGCCTTTGCCAGCATGGCTGACTACTTGAGTCCTCATTTAAACCTCAAGTTACTAATTGATTCGTTAAGTCTAGTTTATTTTTTTTTAATAATTTTTTTAAATGTTTTTTAATTTATTTTTGAGAGACAGAGAGACAGAGACAGAGACAGAGAGAGAGAAATCACGAGCGGGGAAGGGGCAGAGAGAGAGAGACACACAGAATCCGAAGCATCCTCCAGGCTGTCTGAACTGTCAGCAGAGAGCCCGACGTGGGGCTCCAACTTGAGAACAGTGAGATCATGACCTGAGCCAAAGTCAGCCACCCAACCAACTGAGCCACCCAGGCGGTCCTCGTTAAGTCTAGTTTAAAGAAACCAAACCAAACCACCCAAACTTCAACAAATACTGAATATATCAGGGCAACGTATTGCGAAAGGAGCTATGGGAAATACAAAGTTGCCTAAAGCATACTTGTAGGAGCCAGTACAGAAGGCAGGCATGTTCACAGCTAACTGACACAAGGCAAAAGAAAATAAGTATTATAAACTATGCCCAAAATGCCATAGATTAGGCTATGGGGACAGAAAAAAATTTCATCAAGTTTGATTATCTTCAGCTTGGTCTAGAAAAATTAGTAGAATTTGGAGAGTTAAACGGTAGAGCAAACATTAATAAAGTAATACTCCGAAACAAAAAAAAAATTAATTTTTAGATAAAATTACTGCCAACAAATACAATCTCTCAAGCATTGAATACAATGGCATCAAGAAAGTAATGTAGTTTTAAATGAAGTTTAATACAGTAGATATTTGGATCCTGCAACAAACCAGTGACAGCCTCAATTAATGGTTAAGTGTAAAAACAGTTGTTTTCTGGTTAGAAGCAACTCTGTATGTCAGTTTTTATGAAATAAGTTAATTTATACATTTTAGCATACTGTGTAAAGAGAGAAACACCCTATAGTTGAGGGTTGGTTCATGTTAATATGAGTATTTACAGTAGTATTGGTACAATATATTTCTGCTTTCTGAAAATTTAAATTTTAGGGGAACACACCATATGTCATATATTTCTAATAATATGCTGTCGAGTTAGAGAACACATTCTGTTTTTAAAGTACTCTCTAGGGGCGCCTGGGTGGCTCAGTCGGTTAAGCATCTGACTTCGGCTCAGATCATGATCTCACAGTTCATGGGTTCAAGCCCCACGTAGAGTTCTGTGCTGACAGCTCAGAGCCTAGAGACTGCTTTGAATTCTGTGTCTTCCTCTCTCTGCCCCTCCCTGCTCACACTCTCTTTCTCTTAAAAATAAAGATTAACTTTAAAAAAAATTAAAAAATTAAAGTACTCTCTCATCAGCAGTTGGGTGAAAAGATCCTGTTCAAGTACTTCAGTCACTTATCTCAAACATTTAAATAATGATGAATTCTGACAGGTAGCCACAAAGGCAGACAGGTTCCCAAATAAGCAATGTATACAAAGCAGGGAGCAGTACTAAGAACTACCTTCTTCTAAGACCCAAACGCCAAGAGGCATTTAAAAAAATGACTTAAGTATAAGACCAAATTATTGTCAATGTTAGTATTCAAGTGTTGGATGACCTACATTAAAGGTAGTAAGATAAAAGGCAAACAGAAGATTCCACGTTTTCTATTTCCACATCATATGTACCTAAACATCTAATAACCTAAGATACTGATGCTCCAGTGGGACCATTTCTCTACCTGCTCTTGACTAAGAATTATCAGGAAGATGAGAATTGGATGTTTAACTCATACGAATACTACTATCCTAAAATCCATATATTTTCTTTACAGGTGAATTTCATCTCTTTACTTCTCACTTTGTAATTGGTAGAGTCACTGTCAGCAACCATTACACGGACAGTAAGATACCAATCTTCTCCCATAACAGCACCTACGCAAATCATCTCTACATAACACGTCCCTTGGCAGATTGAGAACCAAGTGAATCACACTGTAACACATACACCAACATGTCTTTAAAATACCAATGATGGCTTCTCAATGACATAGAACTAAGTGGTACAGTCTCTTCCTCAGTGACTTGAGAAACCTAAAAGTGTGGGTGAATTCATTCCGTATCAAAAACCTGAGAAATGAAAGTCATCTAAAAGTGCTTTATGTTCAGGGCACCTGGGTGGCTCAGTCAGTTAAGCAACCTACTCTTGATTTTGGCTCAGGTCATGATCTTGCAGTTCATGGGATTGAGCTCCACCCTGGGCTCTGAGCTGACAGCACAGAGCTTGCATGGAAATCCCACTCTCTCTCTCTCTCTCACTCTCGCTCTCTCTCTGGCCCTACCCTGCTCACACAACACACTCTCTTTCTCTCAAAATAAAGAAATAAACTTAAAAATATATTTAAAAGTGCTTTCCCTTCAATTATCTTATTTATCCCACTAAAATATATATATGCACATCACTCTTACTATAATCCTCATCTACTCCAGCAAACAATCAAAATTTGAAGGGTAAACAGAAGAAAAATACAAATTAACCACTATATAATGAACTACATTGGAGGGCATTCAAGACACATAGTAGAAAAGTTATATACGGTTTCTTATAACACTATGGTATCACTGAATTCAAGGGGTAGGAGTGCGGGAAGGTAAGCTGCATTTTACTAGGTGGCCTGGGAGAAAAGGTACCTCTTTCCATCATCAGCAAGGGCATGGAGATGTAATAAAGCATAGCACTTTCGGAACACAGAAAGTGGTCTGCTAATCTCAATAACGTGCTGTGGTCTCTTTCAGATTTAGCATTTTATGCATTTTAGGCACTGCTTACTATTTGTTCTCAAGAGCCCTCTTTACCTCATAACAGGTAAAGCAGACGCAGAGCTGTCTGCACACCCCCTGTTCCTTACCTGCCCCAGGCAACATCCACTTTGGGGGCTGGTATTGCGGGTGAGTGTATGTGTCAAGGATGGCAGACGTTCCTACTTTACAACCACACTGTGTTTAGGACAGATGCCTGAAGATGGAAAAAACCAGACTTTGGGTAGGCAGAAGCAAACTATGCCTTCAAAATCATGGGCTGTAATTCCTCATTTACAAATGCTTATCCGGTGTACTTTATAAAGATCATGTACATGTTCAAGCAAAACAAAACAGAAACAGACCCATAGATACAGAGGACAAACTGATGGCTGTTAGAAGGGGTGGAGGGAGGGAGATGAATGAAGCAGGTGAAGGGGGTTATGGGGTACAAGGCTATCTTATGTACAGCATAGGGAATATGGTCAATAATATTGTAATAACTGTGTATGGTGATAGATGGTAACTGGGCTTTTCGTGGTGACCATTTCATAATGTCTATAAATACTGAAATTACTAGGTTGTATATATGAAACTAACACAGTATTGTATGTTGACTATTCTTCAACGAGAGGATTTTTTAAAATAACATATACATAAAATTAAAATGAACCAAAATGCCTACACACAACATCTAATGGGAGAAAGAACTAGAGAAATGAAGCATTTTAAAGTAGATGGAAACAGAATAAACATCACTGAACACAAGAGATTGCATCTTGTGTGTGATAACGACTTTGTACAGGGCAGTGACGATGGGAACATTCAATCCTTATTACCTAAAAATAGGAACAAAAATTTTTCTTTTCCCAATGCACAGAGGGAAGATATAGGCAATTTCATTCTTAAATGTGTTATTTAAACATGTATGAGTTCCCAAAAGGACGTACCACATCAGCATAATCAGAGTTAGATCAATGTAGAAAAAGGGATTTGAGCCTATGGAGAGGAGCTGCTTGGTGACAAGGAAATAAGGAAAACAGTTCAGAGTAAGACAAAGACTGAATGTTTTTGGAAAATAGTTTTACCATATGGTTTGAAGCCACCTACATACACTGAAAAAAAATACTACAAACTAGAAAGGGGCTCAAAATGAAATGAAATATTAATGGAAATGTTTATCTGAGAGTAACCAGACATGTTTTTTTTTAAGGAATTTTCCTACTTGTGAACATTTTGTACCACTACATTCTGAGAAACCTTTTGAAGGAAAGTAAACTCTGTCCATTTTTCCACGTCTGCAGACAGGTACAGGAAGTAACCACCTAATCTACATGAATTCTCTCTGCCAACTGGCAGCCAATAATACCATCAGGTCAATAGTAGTAGCTCTCCGGGAAATGTAGTTGCATGGAATAAGCAAAAGTACGGAAAAGCAAGGTAAATCGGAACAGGATCTTCACAGTCCAAGGTGTATGCCACTTCCCACATCCCTCTTTTGAGACCACTGAGGCAGACCAGAACAGATTAGACATATTTCTGCGGGAGAGGTACAATGATGAAAAAGGTATATTCACCTAACAATGTTTTACCATAGATCTCCTCCATACCAAGGCAGAAACAGGTGAAAAAAATACCCTTAGATATTTGCAAGTCCCTGATCTGGCAATTTGCTCTTCCCTAGAATGAGATTTTTAGGTGGAAACATTAACAATCTGATATCAATCCCCACCAGTCTCATGCTAATGACTACAATCGGGTATTCAACAAAGTTATTCATATTATACATAGATATGGGAAAAGAGAAGCTACCTCGTCATGGTTCTTTTCTTTTGCCATCAAAGAATGCTTACTTCTCAACTATGCTCAGGTTCT